AATTCTTCACAGCTCCTAATCACCATCTATTAACCACACTTACCTTTCGAATCCACATTACAGACTACCCTTCTTTCATCAAGAACCTCAATTTCTCAATAACAGATCTCGAATTACAAACCAAATAACATTAATCAGAGACTTAACCAAGCCCCCGACCCACTACCAGTACCACAGCTATCAAGAAGCTTTTCCCCGAAGCAGGTTCTTATCGTCAATTATCAAGTCTCAAAAGCCCAACATCGTCTGCACCCCATAATTACTTTACTGCAGGTACCACCTACCGATCGTGTAATTACCCGAACCATTATCCTCTTTCCTTCCGTACCGACACCTTGATATCTTCCTTCCGAATTCAAACCAACGAAGCAACACCCTAAAATTGAAATATTCACTTCTACTATCCTTCTACTTTTACAAATTCTATATATGGATATATATTGTACAGAATTGTCAGAACGAATACCAAGCGTAATGAGAAAACTTAAAACATTCGCAAAGGCGTCTGAATTCCAACTGAATTACGCAGCACGTACCGAGTGGGAGAAACGGTCAGGGTCAATTTAGGGTTGACTGACTGCTTCGGATTAGGCCGCACAGACAGGTTCCACGTTATACAGACGAAACCTCGCGAGGGTCTGAGCTATCTCTAAGTCTCCAGAGAAGCTAATCGAAGAAGTTTTGAACCAACGCTGTACAATGTTAGCATAAAAATGCATATAGAAAATCAAACACTCACAGATAGTAAGGAAACTACATCGTAAACCTGGCTTAAAGCCAGCCATTGCTAACGCCTTAACATCCGTAGTTGGAACCAGTGGCCAGTCTCAGTTGAAGGGTTGCAAGCATCGTCATTGTCCCAAGAATGGAAAGCAGTCCCTGGCGCGCGCAGGTTCGACCGCAAGCCGCGACAATGACGCGTTCTCTCGTACATTGGCGAGGAGGATGGGGCTTGGGGAGGGGTGCATGTACGCGTGCACTAATGGTACTAGGCACGGCTTGAGGATGACATTAAGCAGCAAGTGCAGCGGAGTGTGCATTGTCATTCCCGTTGAATGTCGTCGTGTGGGCCGCTGAACAGGCCGCGCTCTTCGTCTGCCAACCGGTATCGTCACCGAGATGCTTGCGGATCTCAGCGCCAACCCTCCTCCTTTCTCTCTTCCTTCGCCCTTTCACCCTTCCGTTCCAACCCCTCGCGCCCCAATGTATTACTATAGGCGGATACATGGCACACAAAGCGGCCAGCAAGATTTGTTTTGCGACACAAACATGCGACACGGCCGTCCATTAACCGTAATAACGTTTCGATGAATGCACGGTCGCGGCCTCGGACCAGTTATTAGTTATGCATTTGCATAAACGTCCCGGCAATTATTATGTGCACGCGCAATTATGATTCGAGCATTGTTACTGACCGTGCTATCAGCATGGTGTGTATATGTTGTAGGCGATGATGAATAGACGAACGAGCTTTTTACGTTTCGCTGCGAATTCTTTGAATTTTATGATTTATTGTTGGCGAGGATAGAAGACACGTTTAATTATACATATAATTCGACTGAAATCGTTAAGCGAAATTTTATGGATAAGAAGCTACAAGTCGAAGCCGAATAATAATTCTTATATAACAGGGATATGCGTTTGATGATCGAGCGAACGAAGTTTGACAAGTAAATTTTACAAATTACGTATCATCTGATTATATTCCGCTGTAAACGTGAAATTTCGATATTACCAATGAGACGCCTGTAACCTCATATCTTGTCAATTTATTAATAGCATTAGTTCATGAATTATTAGGTAATAGGATTTTGGATAGGAATCGGATAGAGATGTAATTTGATGATGTTATTGCTGACTGGGGAAGGTGTCTGAATTTTGTGAAATTCAAATGGGTTAATATGATGGAATAAAATTGTAGATAATTATTAATGCACAATGATAATATTCGTCGATTGAATCGTAACGAATTGTCAAAGGAAAGCTGCAACTAAAACGGACAAGATAAGTGAAAACAATGACACGGCCGGGAATGAAAACGAATCGGGAAAAATCGATCGTCGATTACCCCTCGAGATAGCAGGCCCGTACTCCGCATCGCTGTTTATTAAACATTCCGATTGCCGTGTATCAACGTTTATTCGCAAATACTCCGCGTGGAAATTGAATCATCGGAAGCGGCTCGGCGGTTGAGCGACGGAAAACCGTCGGCTAAAAGCATTCTTGCTCGATTTTGATGGGTTCCAGCCCCGACAACGTTCGATGGTATCGCAACCAAGCTTCGATCGGCCGAGTTGACTCGTTGTTTTCTTGCATCGTACTATTGAAACTTTCGTTAATTGCGCTGCAAATGTGTAACTTTGCAGATGCAATTCTTTTCTGCTTCCCTGCCTGTTTCGTTTCTCTTTTTTTTCTGTTTGATACTTTTTAATCTCACGTCGATGCTGACGCTTCCGGCCCCTCTATCCTTTACAGCGCGCGATACAGACGCGTCTCGAGCGAGAAACACGCGGATAGGGGTTGAAAATAATATCGAGGCGCGAGAAAAAATCCCTGGCCGCGATAATTATCGCGGATTCCATCATCTCTAAAGGGGCTCCGGTTTCTTTGAAATCACCCCAACCGCGAGCGCGTTAATTTCCACTGAATTTTATACCGAATTCCGCGACTTTTTATAAAACTCGCGTTCGGAGACAAATAACGGCGGGGATCCGTCTGGGTGGCTGCAGTAACGAGTCTCGATACATCGTACGATGGTCCATTAAAAATTTACTACGAAGAACGAAGTGAAGCTACATAGACGAAGAGAAGGTATGAAACGAGATACAATGTCCACGGACTACGTAAAAAACACAATCTTGAATTAATTTGAATTTCAATTACTTTTATTTAAATTAGGTTTGTTATAATTAATCTGACGATGAATTAACAACTGCGAAATTTATGTAGCGTTAATACTCCATTAGTAGAAAACTACCGAGGAGATCGTTGTTGAATCTTTTCCTCGAATATTTCCAGCAATCCAGCGAATAGTTTTTCGATTAAAAATATATCGCGGTTCCCTCCATTGACTCGAATTCCAGGAAACCGTCGATTATTCGTTCCAGGGAGAAGGAAATCTCAGATTATAATCCTCCGTCTGTATTTCGAAAGTGTATTTCGCTTGCGTGCCACCGTGTGGCTAGCATCCTTTATCTCTCCGCCTCTCTTCCTTCTTATCGATTGCAATCCACGGCATTCTTTCTCCGTTTCTTTCGTACTCGTGTTTCTCGTATCTTTGTATGGATACTGGGTCCCTCTGTTTCGTGAAAATCGTCGCCTTTATTTCTTTCACATTTCTCTCGTTGACTCGAAGCTTCCGCGAATTATTTGGCAGTGCGCCATTTTGAATTGAACATTCCCTATGATGCTTTGCCGCGCACGTACTTTTTCTGTGAAAAACGCCTGTTCCTTAGGGTTGCGAGCGACTATAATTATCAATTCTAACGAGACTTGGAATTCGTCGAAAATTGAACTTAAAGCGCTTCAATTTAAATTTCAGTTTAATTATACCAAACGATATTACCAAGTAATGATACTATAACCAAATATTTCAAAATAATCTGCATTTGAATAATAATTCTTGAAATATAATATTCATTTGTGATCAATTATAGAGACAATACGAACAACAGGGTTAAATTACTCTTATTCGATTCATTTGTATGATTATTCGGCGAATAATCTGAAATTTGGACGTAAAGCAGGATAGAGAAATAAATGGAAATAGGTTTAATATCGTTGGTATATCGCCACTATGTTGGACACAAAGAAGCACGGTCACTCTCCTTTTTGCAGCTGTCATTTACGAGCAAAATCCCGGCTAACGATAACGCGAGCTACCCGTATAGCTGGAGACTGGGAGGTAATACGCTTGTCTATGACAGAGAAGGATCCTGAATTTGAATCTCTCCAGAGCAGCTTTGTCTCCACTCGCCTGTGTACATTGTACATTGTAGCATAGCTATCAAGCCTCACCAAGTACTTAGAAATACCGAGCCTCTCGATTTTTCAAAACGAAACTAATTTTTCCGGCGGAAGGATTAATTTACAGTTTAATTATCATTCGATACTGTCGTATTTCAAAAAAAAAGTGAAAAATTTGTAAAACAGAAGCTGGTGAGCTCTTTTAAAGAAGACAAATAGATTAAACCAAAGAGAATTTTTAAATACGTTATAGAAGAAATAAATGTAATAAAAATTCAATAAAAATTTATTACGAAAAAATTGATTATACGATCCGTGAAACTAAAATTACAAAATGTTCTACAGAATAAATAGATTTAAATGATCAAACAGGATTTTTAGGTAAATTAAATGGAATAAATAAAATTTTGTCCGCGCGTAATAAAAATTCGATGTATAAACTCGATGAGAAATTCATTACAAAAATTTCATTAAACAACTTTTCTCGCCTATAAAATTAGATTTATCACGTTTGAAAAATCAATTAAATGAAACATAAACACAGTTTTCTAGAAACATTAAATATAAATTAGATAAAAATTCATAACAAATATTTTTTATCACACGATTTCTGTTATCTATGCAACTAAAATTACTACGTTTGTCAGTAGATCAAAATATTTCGTAAACGATATAAAGATTCCACGTATTCCTTAAACAATTCTTTTATACTGATAAAAATAGTACCGTTAAACGGACATTGTTACGTTAATATTATAAAGTCAACAATACTATCGCTAAAGGTTCGTTCTAGAAAATTGACCAAATCGAATTATCCTTTAACTCTATCATCGCATCATTTCGCGTAGCACAAGTTTCAAACAACAAATGGAGATATACGATACGAACGGTTTCGTATCCCACGAAATATTTCATCCGCGTGACGTCAACAAACCGCAGGTAGCAGAATTGCTCGCATTCATCGCAGACAAGGGGTGCCCCTCGCCCGAAGTAACCTCGAATACGAAACATTTAGTCGATCGCGACGCGTCCTAAGTGACGGACAAGCGTTATTCTGTTCCATCGATACTGGCGTCGATTGAGAACATTGCAGTTAAACGACGCTAAACAACAACTGGGCCACCGTACCTGCCACGACTTGTTACCGCTACAATCTATTTTCAACGTGTGTTTACGTGGGAATAAAAGTGACGCGGAATAACCATATCCAAACGTGGATATTAAGGCAGATATTAAACGAGAAGTGAAGATTGCCAAGTAAGCGAATTAATATTAGTTAAACATTAAACGATATCAGTACGGTGTTAAATGCGATTTCGTGTTTTACGATGCGTAATAATTGTATTGTCACGATACGTGAATAGTTGGGTATATAAAGTTTAGAAAGTAGTGGAGAATGTAAATTATATGCTAATTCCAAAAACTTTGGAGTTACTGAATTTTCGTGAACTCAGTTGTACATACATTGAATCTGAACCTGATTTTGTTATTATTTCGGAATTAGTATTACCAGACTGCGGATATTTATGCAAATTCATATTTTTGTGAAGGAAACAAACAGAGGAATAGAACCGATACAGGAATTTGTTTTGCCTATTAAATATCATAATAAGTGGTGAACTTTGCATATTTTACATACTTTTGCATATTACGCGTATTCTATGCATTTTTGTATTTTTATGTTTTCCGTGAATGTGTAAAAATCCGCAGTCTGAATATTACAGATACCAGCATTAATTATTTTTATTTCAGTGGATTATTGATGAATAAATTCCTTGAGATAAAAGAATTCTGGACTGAGTATTTGTCGTATAAGAAATATATCATGAACATTTTAACGGCAGGGCAGGCCATTAAAATTAACATGTTACATTGCAATATGTAGATGAGATGTATAAATGTATCAAATATCTCAATATTGGAATTTCCATAACTCTAACAATACGAATAATAATCAAAGATTCTTTAATATATTATTAAATTTCCATATCGGTAGCTCAATTAATTTAAAAGACAGGATTTCAATAAGATTATTATTCACGGTAAAAGCATCTCGTCGATAAGATGCTAATTCTGGCTAGCACATTATTATAATTGAATTCTCCTTAGAATACAATCTTTGTTTCTTTAGTATACTTCGTGAATCGTAAAATATTATTCAAGAAAATAAAGTAGAGTTTACAGATCGAGGAGACGCGACTAAAATCCGAAGTCTCGACTTAAGACAGAAATATTTCACAGACAAATAGAAAGAAACTTTTATTGCCTCAAGATAATTCCCAGGTACTCCCTGACGCTATAAAATAAATTATCCATGTACCAAGCTTAATTCAAATTTAATACAAGTTTAATCCAACTATGATTTTGCCTTTGAAAAGTTAAACTGGTCATTAGACCGTAGCAAAAATTGATTACTCGATAATTGTTATCTATAAGTCTTAAACTGAAAATTTTCTCTTCTATATGTAACGCTAATTTCTTTATTTTATTAATTCGTTTAGTGAATCTTGTTGCAAATCGGTCATTTCGCGTGTTACGATCGAATAGCTACTTAGATTTTGAAATCTTACGTTATACTCTTATTGTTGGCGAGTTCCCATTAAAATATTCATTAGCTATAAATTAATAGCCTACATAATATATTCGTGAATTTAGCGAAAACTACCCCTTTGATGAAACGTGGTAATAGTATCCGAAATCACGATACATAACATAGTACCTACATCCTTGGCAGCAAGTAATCATGACGAAGCAAAATTCGAGTATACCTCGCATCTACGAAACTCCTTCGTTTGTCGATCAAACGATCTGCTGACAAAAACATCGCGGCGCGACGAAACGAAACGATACGAGTTGAGCTCGCGACTCCCTCGTCGCGTCATTGAAAGCTTGTAAAGCTAGGGTAAACGTTCGACGCCGGATGTTATTCAATTTCGTATTCATTACGCGGGAAACAAGGACGGTGTCTCTCGCGATCGCTTCGGGCGTTGCTGGTTCGTTAAAGCGTTCTCGCTGGCTGGCTCGTGTTTCTCCGCGTTTGCGCGTTCCTATTCTCGCGTGTATTCGTTCGACCACACCGTGGATACATACCTAAATCTCGTATAGAGGGTGTCTCGTGTAACTGGACCAAGCTATATCTGTAAATGCTCAGAAATTGTTTTCTACAGCAACACAATATGATTTGTATTTTGTACAATTTATATGTAAAATAATATATGTATTTCCAGATGTCTTTCGAACTTCATCGACATCTATAATCGTGGTAGTCGAGTTTTGTAACAATACTAATGAAACTGTAGAATATTTTGTAGCATCTAATTGCAGTAGGACTCTGTTTATACGAGTTGTTTATATAACCAGGTCATTTGCATAATAGGTATCCACCCATTTCTCTCCATCTGTAATTCTTTTCACTCGGTTAATAGAAGTTCATGCTCGTATAAGAGAATCCCTCGGAACATCTACCCTTGAATACATAACAATGTTGCAAACTTGTATCCGCTGCGAAGTATGAGAGTCTGTCACGTAACGCGTGCCCCTACTGTTTACATCTTATTGTTAGACGTTCACATAAGTGGGTTGACACCCGGCGATAGTTCAGGTAAAAGAGTTCGGTTAAAGCGGAATTTTCACTTTGGACGAACACGAATGATGAACAGCTACTTTCATTCTCGTTTCATCCGCGTCCATCCACCGTGTTCCTGCAATGTGATACAGCGGAAATTCGGCTTTAAGCTCAGTCAATCAGACATTTCGTTCATACAAGCGGATGTATTTTCATGAACCTACCGTCCATATGCAGTTACTTTTCCCAGTTGTCGTATAGTGTTGACCGTGTTGCATGAAACACCTTGTATACGTCGATGGAGTATGATTTCGTGATGGAAAGTGTGGACACGAAGACAACGACGGAAGAGAACGGAGAAACGCAGGCGAATCGCGGCGGTTCAAACAAACGCGAATCGCGCGAACGATGCACGTGCTAATATTGATGTTTGCGTGTGCAAACACAAGCCCGCTGACGTTACTCGAGGCGGGGCGGATGCATTCTCAAACATGTTCGAACACCGGGCCACGTATGAGGGTGGACAAGTTGAATATGAGTTGGAATAGTTTGAGTAATAGTTTGCGGGGCTTGAGTTCGGGCATAGAGCGGAATTTTGAAGGAAGGTAACCTTTCGTGAATGCGGACGGTTCAAAAAACCCCGCGCGCGTAAATGAAGTATCCAGAAGGAAGACAGTTGCTATTGAAAAATGTGGAGGAAGATTTTGTTAGCTGATCAGCAATATTTCTAGTAATTTGTTGAAATGATTTCGTACAGTAGCGTACGATATGTTCATTTGAATTTTTCAACTTTTACTGCTACATATATGTGTGCTTACAATTTTTCTTTAATTCAAGCATGATTATGAATAATCTTTTAATCGTACATATTGCCGGAAATACGTATAACAGAAACAAAACGTCGTTTTTCTCTTTTAACGGAGATTTATTTAGAAGCATAACAACGTAAAAAATGCAAAACGTCGTAGAAGTTATTGTTGGGAGGGAATGGCGTTGAATTAAAGATATATTTCATCAGCTAGCATTTCAATTACTACGTCGAAATCAAGTCAACGTGCTCAAAATACGCAATGTCTGGGCAAACAACGCTCCATTGAAAACGCGCGCACGTATATACAGAAACCCCATTCACCTTCACGAGCATGGTGCAAGATCGCGTACACGTATATTCAGTGTACTCTCACACAGATAACGATCAATCTTCTTAAGAACTCGCGTGAAACACGTGACACGATATTCGATACAGAGGTATACGTTTAACATAGAACATTGTTGAAGGAATAACGCGAAATGTAACAAACGCGGTGATAATGATAGCACCGATGCAGGTAGTCTTCATTCAGACTCAGAAGCTGGTTGAATGTCGCGGGATATGTGGAAAGGATCGTTGAATGGCGAATATTTCGTAAACATTTTCTTGGACTTGATTCTATATTGTCTAAAAAAATAAAAAATACTTTCTATTGCCTGAACAAATTTGGACTAATTCAAGGATTACAAATTCACAGGTTTCGTTTCTTTTAGATTGGTTTAAAAAGCTTCTATTATAAATTAATAATTGATTTTGGTTGAAACGTGTATTAGCGTGTATGAATTAATAGTTTGTATCCGAAAATTTATGTTCGCTAAATATTTGTGGAAATTATATTTTATGAATGAAGATTATTGTACATTTCACGTGCATATAGAAACATACATATATTCTTTATATATTTCCACATATACTATTTATATTTCATTTTTATTGTACCTTTCCATATGCATTCTATTTTCCATTTTTCATTTTATCTTTTAATATATTTCTATTCTACACATTTTTAAGCTCTTACAGTAACGACGACATAAAATGAACGACACGGCGTTCCAATAAATTCCACATTAAAAATATCAAATACTAAAAAAATATATGTATATATTATATATGTGTGTGTGTGTGTGTGTGCGTGTGTGTGCGTGTGTGTGCGTGTGTATGCGTGTATTCCACCATTACTAGTCCTTGAAAGGATTAACAACAGCAAGCCCCGCCAAAATCTCTTTAGAAATATAGAACGAACAGCTTTCGTCTCTCAATTCGTCTAATTTCAAAAGAATATCACGTATCGCGACAGAACGTCGACAGGAAGCGATCGATCCGTAGAGAGAGTTGCAGGTTCCGGAGGTGGTTGGCCATAGTTTCGCTTGGACGACGCGCGATCCGCATTACGGTTGAGGTAAGGATAAAGCAATTAGCGCTTAACTGCAACTTTTCGCCCTTATTTCGCCGGAGGACTGCGCAACGCGAGAATTACGAAACATGCGTCGAATATTTCGCAACGTGTTAAGCCGGAGGACTCGAGAGAATTTTATCCCGTGGCCGCTCCTCGAGTCGAGCAAAAAGAGAGAGGAGCCTCACGTTTATTGGGTTACTTTAACGAGAATCAACGCGTTTCATCTGGATGAAGAGCGGATGCTGGGGAAAAAGCGAAAAGTAATTAGGTGTATCTCATTTTTTTCTGTCCACGCTAATGGGACAGGTGATTTAGGGTGCATTTTTTTCGGCAGAGTAAGTTACGTTTTCGTTCGACATTGCGACTTTCTGGAATATCGTTATGCAGGGCAGAGGAAAAAAGGGGAAAAAAGAAGGAGGTAATAGGGGAATTTCGTTCACGAGCGGTGGAAAGAATGTGTTCGTTGGATTGCCTTCACCAGGAAA